GCAAAAGACAGTGATGTAATACTGAAGCCTAACGAATCAAAGGGCCTATGTAGATTAAATATATATTTGTGATCATTAAGTTTTATAGTGATTCAATAATATAAAATAAATAAATGAATTATCACACTACTTAATTTTTATAGTGATTCAAGAATATACTCCAACATCAACACAATTGACTATTTATGAAGGTTATGATCGACTAAATAGGAGTTACCTCAAAATCAGCCATAGTCATGCTAAGCCCCTTAATTTCTTCCTATGACCACTGTTGCCTCCACCATAACTTGCCTATTGCAAGATCAGAAGGCTCGGTAAATTTCTTGGCTATAATTCTATCAATTGCAAAGTGACCAGCATTCTTGGCAAGCTCTTCCAAGTCAGCTCCAACAAACCCAGAAGTGGATCTAGCTATTTTTAAAAAATCGAAGACTCCTTCAAGACGCATATTGTGTGTGACTGCCGATAAAATTTCAGCCCTTCCACATTCATCTGGGATACCTAGAGCAACTTCAATATCAAATATTCTGGGCCTCCTTAAGGCAGGATCAATGCCATCGGGTCTATTGGTTGCTCCCATTACTAGAATATGGCCACATTCACAATCAAAACTTCCAGAAGATGCATTGCCCTCAGTAGATTTTAGAGGCCTATTTGATCGGTCCATGCATTTCAGCAGTTGTGTTACAATGCGTTTCTCCATTTCTCTCTGCATATTGACCCTTTTTGAAGCAATTGCATCGATCTCATCGTTGATGGAGTGGTCCTGTATGCTTTTGCAAACAAATTTCGTATGCTTTCTTCTGATGCACCTGAAAAAATTTACAAAATAATCCATTCATAGATTTTCAAAGGCTGACAGTTTGTTGGAGCAATTTTTTTCAACTTATGTCACCTCAATACAAATATCATGCTAGTAAATGAGGTTCTCAAAATAATTTCTTATCAATAACAACCGTGAATCAATCTAGGATCATATAAAAGTCTAATGTTTAATTTAGGTTACACAATCACACATAAAGAAAAGACCATTGTCATATATAAAACTTGAGGGATAAACAAAAGCATATAAACACAAAAAATCAGTTTACTCCATGTTAACACAACAATTAATTCACAATTTCCTCAATGAACCAATGGATGAATGAAGAACATATAAACAATAAACAATCCAAATCAATTTACTCTGCATTAACACAATAAGTAACACTGAAACACAATGGATTAGGTTAGCAGAACTAATTTTAACAGTTCCAATCAAGTCACAAATTCATTAGCTAACCGATAGATGAATTAGCTGAAACCCCAGATACCAATTCAGTAGCAGAAACTTCATAAAGAGGTCCTCCAACTTCATCGGCAATGGCCCGCGCTAGGAAGTTTTTCCGCAGCCTGGTGGTCCGTGCAACAAAATTCCTCCATGGGGCTGCAATCCCAAAGAAAGAGGAATATGCGGATGTCGCAGAGGGAAAATAACTTTCTTAATCAAATAAACAATCTCACTGCTCATTCCCCCAAATGTCTCAAGCATTGAACCCTTAGTCTCAACCTCGCCATTGTTGTTGTTGTCATTCTTCGTAACCGCCTTACGTAAATCGCATACTTCGCTCAATACGTTTAATTTAACATCATTGTTGTAGACAACATCGAATTCTACGGCTTTGGATTCCTCGACCTTCTCAAATTTAGATGACACAGTGGACGACGCGGCGGCGGCACCGCTGCTGCTGTTTTGAGCGTCGCCGCCGGCGTTCCTCTTACGAGTTTGCTGAGACTCTGAGAGAATTTGGTGGACGCGTTTGGTGAAGGGCTGTAGCTTGTGGCGGGCGTACTATGGGTATGTCGTCCGGAGGTCTTCCACTAACCTTTCAACTGTGGAATGATCTTTCGTAGTCGCGGACTTGATGTGCCGGCGAAGAACGCGATCAAAATTTGATCGATTCTCGCCGCCGCTCCTTCGTATGCTTCGCATGGCCGCCCGATGGCTTGTGTTTGTGATTGAGACAAACATGAGTTGCTTTTAATATGTATATATATATATTTGTTATACGTATATACCTAAATATGAATGATTGTGGAATAAAGAAAGATGTTTGTTTTTTTTATTTTTTTTATTTTTTTTAATTTTGATTTGGGGTTGGTATTAAAATAATATTTGACACAATAATTATGAAAAAAAAAATGTATTTTTTAAAAAAATACAAAATTCAAATAATAAAATTTGAAAAAATTAGAATAAAGAAACATATTCCTCCAATAATTTAGAATATATTTATGCAATTCATATATCTATATATCTATATATATCTACCATACATACATATATTTATTCACATATCATCCTATGTGCTCTCTCGGTCGCCAAATTTATTTTCACTTTTATTTTTAGTAAGTTCATTAAATTTATTTAATTATTAATTTTGTCAAAATCAACGAATCAATATTTAATTATTACCTTCAATTCAATATTTATTTACAACAGATAACACAACTTTATTACGTTGTCTCTTCATATATTTTATTTTTTAACTAAATTTTCAAAAATACTCTCAACTACCTATCATATTTTCAATAAAATTTTTAATTTTCTTTTAATTCTCGTATCGAGCCCAAATGGACTAATTTTAATGAATATATAATAACACACAACATACTATACATATATTATTATATATATAAGCCGCACACACATTTATATATACACAATATATATAATATAATACAATATATAAAATAGTAGTTAGCCCTAGAAATAATTAATATTTTTATTAAATAATGTTATACTAATATTACAACAAAATTTAGATTAAATAGGATATTTTAAAAGTTTTAAAACTTATATTTTACTTTTTATAAATAATATTTATACTCCCTTTTTCCCACTCAATTGATAGGATATTTAAGATAGCTATGTATAGTTAATAATTCTCCCTCCGCTTAAAAAAATGTCTTATTGAGAGTGAGTACGAAAACTAAGGGATAATTAATATTTAATTAAAAATGGGTATAAAATAGAAGGTAAAAATTAAAATACTTTTACTTTTTGAATAATTTTAAAAAGTCGAGTAATAATTAGGGATAGTTTAGAAAAATAGGAATAAATTTGTTATAAAATGGGGACCACGATTACTAAATAGGGAAACAAGACACTTGTTTTAGGACAAACGAAAATGAAAAAATAAGACAACTCTATTGGGACGAAGGGAGTAATCAATTATGATATTACTATTTTATTTTTTATATAATTAATAATATTGATATTTTAAAAATAAATTTAATATATATAATTAAAAAATTAGAATATATATTTAAATATTTAAAAATTATATTGCAATAAAAAATATATGTAATATATATTATTAGAGAATAAATTTTTATAATACAAGTAAATATAAAAAATATATGTATTTATTTATAATTAACATAATCTAATGTTATAAAAGAGATAGAGTTTAAAATGTATATAAAAATATTTATTTTTTTTTATGAGAAATTGATGTTATATACTATCTCTGTCCGGCTCTAAAGTCTCATTTAATTTTTGCGTATTTGATATTTGAATATTAATTATTATATGAAAATATAGTACAAATTAAGGGGAAATAATAAAAATATTTTATTAGTGTATTATAATACTATTATAATGACATTTGTGCAAAAAAATATACAAATATAAGGATATTTTTAATCCCTCCGGTCCACGTATAAAATATATATTTACTGGGTAGTTAAAAGTAGTGTAATGACATTTTTGCCCTTGCTTTTTGGAGTAAAAATAATGATGTGATATAAAATAAAAGTATTTGCGGAAAAATGTAAGGTATTTAATGAAATATTTACTTTGTAATTGGACGTCCCAAAATAAAAGTATGCATATTTTCTAGTTGGACAGACGAAATATTAAATATGATGATGCAAAAGGTAAATGAGACCCTTAGAGACGGATCGATAAAACATTATATAGTTAATTAAATTAATTTATATTTGTTAAATATATTTTAATTTAATAAATTTATTCAAAATAAAATATGTCAATGGTTATGAACAGCTAAAAACAAAAAAAAAAAAAACTATTAATTAAGATGAGATTGATAAAATATAGTATTATTAATATTTAATTTATAAAAATATTTAAATTTATAAATAGTAAAAACAAAAGTAGGCAAAAAAAAAATCGTTTCAAAACACTAGAAAAACAAGCCCTTATTATATTTTTCTTAATTTTTATTTATTTATAAAAACAAACCCTTATTTTTCATTTACATATTCTAACTTATGAGTTTTTGTTGTAGACTTATATCGAATTCAAAATTAAATAAAAATTGCTAATTAGTATTTCTTCCGTCATGGCCCTTTTTATTTTTTTTATTCGTCCATAAAACATGATCATTTTTATATTTTTAAGTACTCTCTCCGTCCCATTGCAATGTTATAATTTTTCATTTTCGTCCGTCCCAAAATAAAGTTACTATTTCCTAATTTAGTAATTGTACTACATACTTCACATAATAAATACCCTTTCAACTTACAATATATTACACAAATATCATTACTTTTATATTACACTATACTAACATATGGGTATTTTTGTCTTTTTTACTGCAATCCAATATAATACTAATATTCAAAAATTTACATGTAAAAAGCAAACACCACCATTGTTGCTGGACAGATGGAGTAAATTTATTTCTCTTAAAGATACTTAACAAATAGAAATCAATAAATAAATATTTTTATATATATTTAAAACTTCTCATCTTTTTATAATAAATAAATACTATATATATTTTTTTAATTTATTTGTATTATATAAAATTTTATGTAAAAAGTTTATCGTTGCCGGGATCGAGGAAATATATTTTAGAGATGAGTTTTTGGAGTTTTTGAAATTTAAATTTTTTATAAAAAAATATTAATATTTAACTTCAAAAGAAAAAATGTATTTAATATAATATTATTTTAAAAATAAATATTCTCAAATGAATAAAAATTTGTAAGGTAAACTAACGAGCCTTTCTCATACTAATTTGTGTTTAAATGACTTTGGAAAAGATAGAAATTAAAAAAGGCTGTTATAGAAGATAAGAGAAGCCTCCCCCAATGGCGGCAATGGCGAAGATCGGGTTTCATCTGCATCACCACCTTCAACTTCAACTTCCATTTTCAATTCCGCCTCCGAACGCCTTTTCCTTACTACAGATCCAAAATCCCCTTCGCCATTTCCATTCCTGTACAGTTTCCACACGCAGTCGCTGCTGTCTACACAGGTCTCGCCGGTTTGACTCCAACGCGGAATCCTTCAATTTAGACGACAACGACGGCGACGAAAGCACCTCAGAGCAGTGGCTTGAAGCTCTCGAGGATTATATCGACAGCATCTGGATTTTTAAGGTGCTTGTCCTCTTCAATCGCGTTTTTTTTTTTTTAAAAAAAAAAAAAAATTATATATATACAGATACATGTGTTGTGTGTGTGAAATTTACTGTGCTTATCAGTTAGTTTGTTGGATGCTTCGATTGGATTATACGGCTTTCAGTTCTGTATTTGCTTGAATCGATGATTAAGTTAGTTACAATTAAAGTTGTTTGGAGTTTGATTTGTCTTGGAAGATTTTCCAAACCTAACCAATCTGCATTTTTCCCCAAACTTGTTTGTGCCTGAGATTCTGTGCCGAATGAACTGGTGATCTTATTGAATTTAAAGGAGAATAATTGTTAGGGTTGTGATTAGATAAGTTTTTGAAAGTGTAGTACGTTTAGACACAATTTTTTGAAGATTTTTGTAATTTTGGAAGTGATGATATTTTTTAAAAAATAACTAAAGTCATTTGAGTGAAAATTGGTTACCTAAATAGAGCTTTAGTGTAGAGCTTTATTATTTATTGTGTATTTTTTTCATTTTTTTTAAAAAATATGAAAATTAGTAACGGTTACACGAATTTCAAGTGAGTTTTGGACTTCGAATTAATTTTTTTGGCGAATCTATAATTTGCCAGTTATGTCCAACAAGACAAATTATACTGAACAATCAGACTTAAAATAATTAGAATTAGAATGTACTCCCTTTGACTCCCTTTTTATTTATTTATTTATTGTAATAAAATGTTATTGAAACTGTGTTGAAAATTTGATATAAATAAAGGAAAATGATTAGATGTTGAAATCATAATTTTAGTATATGGGTTGAATGGATTAAAACTTATTTACCTAAGTTACATAATTAAATAATATAATTAACATAATTAAATATTACTCCATTTGTTCCAAAAGAAATAGGAATAATAATATTTAATTGAAAGTAATGACTAAAATGTCCCTACTTTTTTAAGGATTTTAAAGAATATGTTAGAGTAATATTTAGAAGTAGTTTGAAAAAGTAGGAATAATTTTGTTATAAAGTGGAGATAACAGTTACTAAATAAGAAAACAAGACCCTTGTTTTGAAGCGGACAAAAATTAAAAAACAAGACAACTCTCTTGGGATGGATGTAGTATATAAATTTAAGGATAACATGGGCGCTGAAACTAACAATTTTGCACCTTATTCATACTGATAAATAAAAGTGATGTTTTGAATAGAAGATTATTATATATATATATATATTACCTCTGTCCTACTTAAATTGTCCTATTTTGCTTAGAAGATCAAGATTAAAATACTAAATAGTTAATTAAAATAAAAAATTATAAATTAGGAGTTTTAAAATGTAATTAAAGTATATAATTATATATATTTTTTAAAAAAGACAAATTATGTGTATGAACGGAAATAAAGACCGTAGACAAATTAAGTGGAACGAAAGAAACAAATAAAAGATAGACATTTTGATGGTTTTTTTTTTAAAATAAATTGTTAGACCTTAAACAAACATTTTGGTGTGAGAGATCTAGAAATAGTAAAGAATTAAATAAAATTAAGTATTTTATTTTTTGATTTTTCTTTAAATATTTTTTTATAGATAGTTAAGATCTTAAAGAAATATTTTGGTGACAGAGAGTTTCAGAAATTAAGTAGGTAAGTGTTGGACGTGATGTTTATATTTGAAAAATATATTTTTGATATAACATTAAAAAAAAAAAGGTATCTTTAAAAGAACGATCATCGGTAGAATATTATGAAAAGTGATTCGAAAAGATACTTAATTGATCCCTAAGTATGAATTGGATGATTGTCCTTTCGAGGATATATATATATATATATGTTAAGGACATTTGGCATATCTTGTATCTTTTGCATGATGTCGAGGTTTCATCTCCGGCCGGATATAAATTACATTTCCATTTGAACAATTCATATGATCAATACATGTGATTCGAAGATGGTTTCTTTCGAAGTTATGATGCAATTACAAGGGGTCAATTTCATGCTTTCCTTACTTTCTAAATGTTAAAACTTGCGGCGATTTTGATCAAACAATTGTCATCTACACAGGTGTTTAGATCCTATGGTTGGATGCTACCCGGTATTATAATATCGATGCTTCTTACCACGGGTCTAAAAGCATTTCTATTGGCATTAGCCGTCCCCATCGGGCAATCAACCTTTGCATTCGCAATACGGAGATATCAGAATCGAGGGAAGATCAACACAAACACGAAGACAAAGAGAAAGGTGAATCGAAAAAGATCAACTCCCTATAATGGTTCGAGGATTTTTAAATTTAAAGACAAACAAGAACAGAGTGTTAAACAAGAGGTGAGAAAGAAAAATAACGGATATAAATCATGGGGTTCGGAAAATGTTGCTTCTGTACGTAGAAGTAGTCCGAGTGTGTCAAATTTTGGCGGATGGGACGAGCTGGATGAACTAGTACAGGAATCTAATGTAGAATCCGCGAGACGGACGCCCACAAAGTAAGATAGGCCAAAAATTGACGAGTTGAGGTGTGTTTCTTTCGAGTTTCTATACAGTTTTTTTTTTATGTTTCTCGAAAAAAAATTGTTTTATTTCATAAAATATTATACGAAACTTTATTTAAGTAAAACGTAAATTGCATAATATTGTGAGCGGAAGAAGTATATATATATTATATATTTTTTTAAGTAAAATTATTTTAGGCCATCAACCATAAAAAAATTTCTAATGGAGTTTCTTCAACATTCCACATTTTACTCTCTTTAAGCTATATTACAAATATATATATATATATAATATGTATTTATATTAAAATTATTTATTTTTCAAATTAATGTTAAACAAATATATATTAATATTTGTATCATTATATAAAGAATAAAATTGACAAAATAGAAAAAAAAAAAAAAGCAAATATAATTATTATAATTATACACAAGAAAGTTTGTTCATTTAGCTTAACGAGAATATTTCTCCATAAATATTATTAAAAAATATAATATACATATATAAATACAATATATATACATATAATAATATATTTCATACATTTACAAGAATCAACGATTAAACACAAATTATTATTTTTCCTATTATCAATATAATTCTTTATACTAACATAAAAAATATACATTTAAAAATACAAAGTAAACAAACCTGAGCCAAAATAGTTAACATTTGTGTGTAGTTAACCTTCCTTAACTATTTTACCTGAAATCCAAAATTAAAGATACTATTTTAATAAATTTGCTAAAAATAATATAATCCATCGTCGAAAATGGATATTCACGAGCAAGCACCATATGCGAAACAATCTCCTAAACCTTGAGATGAGCGTAACAAAATTTCGTGATACAATTGAACCTTTGGAGAACAACAACAATTTTTCTAGTATATCCTCAACTTCCTTTGTAAGAAATCCGTCAAGTGTTTCTTGTATCGTAAAGATGTCCGATGTACCTCGTGTAAAAATTCTTAGCGAAGTGTCGTTTGCAATGATTACATTCTTCAGTTATAATCTCTTGTCATTTCATCACAAACTCGAATTTTCTTGCGCCACCAACTGCTTCTGCAGCATATCCGTTCCCGGAAATACCAACATGTTTAAGGACTTCATTTCTTTCTTGGCGGCATCCTCGACTTCATGGAAACCAAAAGCTGCGGTCCATGTGTTCATATGCTCCGATATAGCAGGAATAATCAATTTCTCGACCTTCAGAGAAGAAAGTTCCTGGAATCGCAAATTTATATATATCAAATAATCGGCTCGCCAAGCCAAAGAGAAGAAGATACAATTGTTCATTTTCAGACAAATTATTTGCAAGAGCTCAGCAGTAATGAAAAGTTTTTAACGAAAGCATATCAATTAAATAGAAAGCTATACCTATGTTAAAAAAATAAAAATAAAAATTAACTGGATGCGATCGATATGTTTTAACCAGCTAGAGACCTACAATTGAATAAACAATGTAAAATATATAGTGTGTTTGCTTTCATTTTTTTTTTTACAATTCTCAATACACCATTTCCGATAAATATTCCCTCCGTGAAGGGTTTCATTTTTCATTTTCGTCCGTTGCAAAAGAAGGATACCATTTCTTAATTTAGTAACTGTATTATCTTCTAACATAATAAATACCCTTTTAACTTACAATATATTACGCAAATGCCACCACCCTTATATTACAACCCAATATAATACTTAATATTAAAAAATCTACGCGCAAAAAGCAAACGTTAGTCTTTACATGGGACGAAGGGAGTACATTTATTTCATCCTAACTCAATGTATGTATTGTAGGTCTTTTTCACTAAAAAATATAAATTTTCTATGATAGTAAAATAGCCCTATATACATTATTTAACTAATTTATCTTTTTTCTAGAGACAAATCTAACTTTTTGTTTTTCTATTTATTATTTATAAATGAAATATTAATATTCTAAGATCTAAGCCTACAGATAAATAGATAGATTCAAGGAGTATTTTAATAACAATTTCACTGTTCTCAATAACTACCAAAACTTATAAAATTCCTAAACGCGATCCCAACCTAAATACTAACAAATGGACAATCAGAATCTGGAAATTTGATAAAATCTTCACCCTTCCAAAATATTATGTACTCAAAATTAATAAGTACTCGTGCAAGTTAAAAATTCAAGCATTACTCAAACTAAATCGATATTAACTACGTAATGTTCTTTGAGAATATATATATGATGAATATGACTTACCTTTTCAATCACGGACAAAAGGCGACGGCACATTCCTTTCCGTCTATAGATTTCACGAGTTCCAATAAAAGGCATCTCAGCGACACGACTTCCATGCAGCCTGACGAGGGTATGAAAAAATCCATTAGATTGCTTTATCTATTTGGCTATAAGCACGACCAATCCACTTTAAAATGTACATAGTGCAGAAACTAATCCATGAATTATTTTCCCATCATTTTTATCGAGGTCATATTAGCTAAGACATAATATGTCATTGATCTTAATTGGAAAAACTGTTTTTTTAGTCTCGTAACTGACCTATTTATCATTTTAGTTTTGTAACTGGAGCATGTATAGAAAAGGTTCCACATGTCCATCAGGTGGCGGCGCCTACCTGGTGTGACAGGCGGGTGCCACGTGTGCATCTTCGGCGCCAAATGACCAATTGTGCCCAAAAAAATTTACTTACGGAATAATTTTTATACAAACTCTATTTACGGGACTCAAATGATAAAGGAGTCCGTTACGGGACTAAAAAACAATTTTTCACTCAAACATTAAAATTTTAAAATAGTATCACAAGGCTCTAGAATGCTCATTTGAAAACAATTGTTACATATAATTATGTAAAATTTTGTTTATCATCACAATATAATTTTATATGTTTATCATAACCTTAATATGCATTAGCTAATCCGAAATTTTATGCACAATGACCATGCCATGCCATCGATTGATCTTTCTGTGTAAATGGTCACTTCATCAGGAGTGTTTAGTTCAAGACAATTAAATTGACCGCTTAATACTAATGAAAATTTCGATCATGGTCTTTATATTTCAAATGAAACCAATTTTGATTGTTTAAATTTGGAAAACAATCTATAACATGTACAATGTTGAATATAATTCGTCTGGTAATAGTAGAAATCTTTTAAAATCCTCAAACAGACTTCTACTATTTAACAAAAAAATTCTCCTCTAAAACATCCATTCAAACATTTATTTTTCATTTTTTTTATAGACTAAATTGTACAAAATCCACTCGTGGTTTCATGAAATTGCACAAAATCCCCCATATTTCTAAAGCGTCAAACTCCCTCGTGGTTTCATAAACTTTGCGTCTAATCCCTCAGTGGTCCCCTAAAATAGTAAATATACTTAAAAATAGTTATTTTTCTCACGTTTTAAAAGTTTATTTTTACTATTTTTTTAGGCTAAATATATAAAAAATAAATATATTTGTAATTTTAGAGGTTTAGAAATTGAGTATGTAATATTTATACGCAGTTTGAGAGCATTTAGATTAAATACCGTTAAACAAGGACTGCTGAGGGGGTTAGACGCAAAGTTTATGAAACCACGAGAAAGTTTGACGCAGTTTTAGAAGTACGGAGGATTTTTTATATTATATTAAAAATCAATTTTACATCCAAAATCTAAACCTCATACAAACACACTTGATTTTAATACCTCAACTATGCTTTATGCTTTGCAAGTGATCCACCGTAGTTGTAATGCAAAAAAAAAAAAAAAGATCCGCAAATAGTGTTTATTACCTGACAGCTGCCGTAGACATTATTTCGTCACCTCGCTCCAATATAACAGTATAAAATCCATGATAATTGAGCCGGTTAAAATTTGATCTGCAACATTAGAGAAAAAATCAGTGGAATGCTCACGACGACTACGCTCAAGTGTTACAAAGGCATTTTTATCAAAAACAATATTTCGATCTTCTGCTTTTGCATAGTCGAGAGCAATTTACCTGCAGTTATGAAAAACATTATGGATTATATTTATCCCACTCCTTCTGTCAATGATGGGCAAAAAACACTCGTCCATGACAGATAATGCAACAGATAGCTTAGAGTTACATTCTACCCGCTGTGCAAATCCACGGTCAGAGGTATCCGAAACATCAGATCGTTGAATAAAAGACCATGAAAAGCCACCATCGAACTCATGTTTGACTCCAAGAATCTTTTGAAAATGATCGTAGAGCTGTAGAACGAAAGTGACTGTGAGAAAATTTTATGACAAAATCAAAGCTTATTTATGAAGGCTTAAAACAGCAGAATCAACAATGCAATCAATAAATATCTAACAATAACATAAATTCTGACAAAAACCGACGATCCCAAATCTTGCGCGATAAACATGGAAATTATTGGTGTTCTTGTGCAATAAAATGTAGATTCACAAGATGGAGAGGGACAATATGATAATGGTATATAGTATGATATTTTCGGGCATTCGATAGTTCAATATAATAGCGAAAATACTGCATATCGTTTTGATATTTTGGTATTCGATATATCGGTATATATCGATACTTCGGTATATTGATGCAAAAAATATAATTCTTAATTTCAGTATTTTGGTATATACTGATACTGTACTAGCGATTCGGTACACTAAATTATCTGCATATACCCAATATTCGGTATATTGATACCAAAATTATCATTTTTAACTTCAGTATTTCGGCATATACTTATAATGTACTAGCGAATTGGTATACTAAATTATCGGTATAGTAATACATATCTATCATACTGAATTTTCGGTGCAATATCGCTAGGTTCTTTTCAACATACCGAAAAATTCGATATGGTTAGATATTTTCGGTATAAAGTACAAATCTATCTCTAGGCAGGCCAATGCTACAACATTCTATTATCTAAAGGAAATGCCCAAATTAGTTTTCTCTTTGATGCCTTTGGTTCACTATCTTTCCACATTCCAACAAAAAATTTGCTCATTCAGCAGAATGAAGTCATGTAAACAATTTACGATTTCTTATTGAAGACCTCAGCAGTAAATATCATCATTTAAGTTCTCCATTTTTAACAGTTGATTGCATAAGGAAATCTAATGCAATACAAAAGTACCTCCCGGCACTTTAGCCCACAGAAAGATGCATCATTTGAATCGACAGCTCCGCAGCATGATTTGTGATCTATAACAGAAACATAGATTTCAGTATAGCTAAATTGGATGAATAAGTGTCTTTGTGAAACTGTAACGGCCAGTGGTTGCAACGGCTTACATTTCTTCTCACAGAAGCTGCATTTGATAAGTTCGTCGCCAGTAGTATCATTTTCTTCAGAAACATTTCCACCAGACGATCCACAAAATTTGCATGTACAATTCGGACAGTGCCAATCACCTTGAGGAAGCATCTGCAATAACCAAAAGGAATAAATAAAATCGAGAACTCTGTTTCAAACCAAGCACCAAAAATGTGTGATTAAAAGTGTGTTCTTTTACAAGATTTTGGCAAATCTACACTATTCACCAAAAATTTTCCAATAAAATAAATCAATTCAAACACTTATTTTTCATTTTTTATATTATACTAAAGTATTTACATTCAAAACATCACATCAACACTTATTTATATCATATCATACAACTACTCAAATTCAAAATTTTTACTATTCAAATCACAACTCAAAATCCAAACCTCAAACACACCCTGAGTATGTTCCACAATCTACGACATATTGAAAAAAAAAGAGAGAGAGATGTTAGACTCAAAAGGACTACATATAGCTTCGAAAAAAGTTCATGGAGCAAAATTCACACATCTTCAGCTTAACCCGTAGATGAAAAATATTTGTGCAATTATAAAAGAGCAACAACAACAACAACCAATATATGAAATTATGTCGGAAAATAAATCAAACACTTATTTTTCATTTTTTATATCGTAAGCAAAATCAATTTTACATTCCAAACAGCAAATCAACAACTATTTATATCATATCAAACAACTATTTCAATTCAAACAAACACCCCCTAAAAATATAGCTAACAAAGTATGCAATGGGTGAGCCATAGCCATAATCAAAGTACCTGAATTTCCAAACAGAGCTGATGAAACGTCGACGGACAACTATCACAACAAACCAAATCACCTCCATCGCCGCAAATGCCGCAAGTATCATCGTCCGGATCATCGCCATCAACATCAACAAAATGGAAATCACGACGTCCAGACTTCTCCCGACTGTTCCAGGCATCAATTTGACACTGCAACAGAGATGATCCCGACTCCAAATGTATATTTTGAAATGGCTGACGCAGATTGCTGCCGGCGTGCAGCTCAAACTTTGAAACCGTGACGATCTTGCTGCAGCAACTACAATGGATTCCATCTTTCGTCAGCCAGCCTTCCAGCATTACCCGACTCTTTTTCTGGTTCATGTATCGAACTTTTTCACTTAATTTCGCCACTCCCGCATCAATCAGCCACCCCAATATTGTTCTTTTCCCTTTATACGGCACATATCCGTCAAAATCGGAAGTTTTTCCTTTATCAGAGCCGCGAACCAAAAGGGTGCATCTACCCGTTACTTTAGAGACAATATACGGCCTCTCCATTTTCCGGACTTTTCCACTTCTCGACTTGAAATTCCGCTCCACATCAGAATTTTCCGAGCTATCCGTAGCCTCCAAAACAGAGGACTTCTTAGCACTCTTTCTTTTCGTTTGTCTTGTAAGTATGTTTACCAAATCTTCGGAAAGATCGTTTTCGCCGTTGTCGTCCCCTAACTGTTTTTTCAATGCATCATAAGCTTTAATAATCGACCAGTACGCCGTTCCATTAGGATTGATGTACACGGCATCCAAGTAGTTTCGGTTACGCCGTGGCCTATAATCTATCGTCCATTTTGCATCAATCAGCATCCCTCGAATCTTGTCGCGCAACATTTGCTTTTCTGTACTCCCGCCACTGCGCTTAGCCTTTTCTTCGATCACTTTTCCTTCAACCCTTTTCTTCGAGCTGCGAGAGCCTGCATTTGGTGATTCCAATTGGTTTTCTGATTCATAGTCATTCTTGCCTCTTTCCAATTTCCCCTTCTTCGATTTTGTCAACGATTCGTCCTTCTTGACATCATTTTCACAACTAGAATTTGTTCTTCTTCTTTCTGCATTGCCACTAGAATGTGAGCTAGAATCGATCTTTTTCTTCTTGTTCACCATAACCTTCAGCACTCCATTCTTTCCTTGCAACCTTATTGCTCGATCGCCATTCTGTCTATACTTCAACCTCAATAATGAAATCGGCATATTCGCCTCCTCGTCTTCATCCTCGTCTTCCTCCAACTCCAAACCTTTGTTCCTACTGCCAGAACCATCAAAATACAACAAATCTTGTTTCCTTTTCGACGAAAATTCATTGCCAAATTTCCCACTGTTCTTTAACCTACTCTTGAAATGATCATTCCTCAATGTATGTCCATCAAATTCATCGTACTCGTCGAACTCAAATAAATCCAACCTACTCTTCTTCGGTGCACTGCCATTCTCAATCCCAAAGTCTCTGTTTCGAATCTTACCATTCAATTTTTTGTCACTCACTCTTCTTCTCATAAACTCCAACGATTCTTCCTCATCACTCGAACCTGAAACAGACGGAATTGTTCCTTTACTACCTGAATTCTTCTTATCCTCGATCTTCTTCTTCTTGATTATCAAACACCCAGACGAGCTGGTCTTCTTCTTCAACACTTCCCTCGATCTTCTGCCCCCTTCCATGGCGTGCGTCTATACACGAAATCCTTTGAATTCCAAACGAGTTTCCTACTTCCCAACGCGTAGTTTGAAAAGGCTTCCCAATTCCGCAACCAGATCTGAAGCGGAACGAGAAATCCACCCAGAATACCAAACGGAACTCGCTAATTGGAAAGAAATTAATGACTTTGTGATATCAATTCCAACTCAACAAGGCTGTATCTGTATGCTTGGGAAATGGAGAAAAGTGTACAAGGGAAAGCAAGGAAACTGGGTAAGGAGAGATGATGAAAAGAATCAACAGTGTGTGCCAACGCGGCTCTCTTTGTAAAATGTAATCCTCCCTCCTCCATTAGAGACCTTCAAAATAATAGTAATAATTATTGGGTTTGTTCGTGAAGTAGGGGTGGAAATAGGCCAGGCGGCCTGTCAGGGCCTATGACCTGGCCTACATCAAGCCTGGCCTGGCCTGTTCTATTTATTAGAAAGATCAGCTTCAGATTTTTTTGTTAAAGCCTGTTTATATATACAGAATAGGCTTAGGCTTATGAAAAAGCCTATTTACTAAACAGGCCGGCCTGTTTAATAATAATATTATTATTATATAAAATTATTTTTTATTTTTATAAAATAAGAATAGTTTTATATATAATAATGATATATATAAAAAAAAAATTTAATTATAAATTTATTAAAAAAAAACAAAAATAAAAATAATTTTTATCCCAATAAAAAATTTCAAATATGAACAACTACTGCATACATGTTCCTTTTTTGGTTTCTTTTATCATAATTCAAATATTATCCCGCTGTAAACTGAACAACAACTGTCCATATTCCTTTTCCACCGCTGCAAGCCTGCAAGCCTGCAACTGCTGCCAGACCTCCACGCCGTCCAGGGTTTTGCAATCTTCTTCACAGAGACCCACTACTTTTCTTTTTCCTTCTTCTGTCTTCATCGCCTCTTTTTTTTTATTGCTACCGGTGGAATTTGGAAAAATAAGGTAAATATCGTTTTTATATGTTTTTTTTCGTTATTTTTATTTAGATATGAATTTCAATATATATATTTTTTGTTTTTTTGTTATATTTTATTTATCTTATATATTTTTTTATGACGTTTTTTTTGTTTTTTTATAACGTCATTTTTTTAAAATAGTTTTGTTATTTTTATTTTTGTGTTTTATATTATTTAGATTAAAATGAAAATTTTATATTTTTGTAGAAAAATATAAGATATATATTTACAAGAATGAACAGTTTCTGATATTTTCGTTTATAATGTATATCATTAATTAAATAAATTTTTTATTTATTTTGAAGCAGGATATGGCTTCGATGGATGAAACAAATATTTTTGATCTTCCATCTGATACACACAATAGTATATCAGTGGATTCCCTTTCAAGCCAACCTGTGGATGATAACAGAAATGAAGACGAAAGGAATTCAAATCAAGCAAATGAAGGTGCCAATAGGAAAAAAAGGAAAAAAACTTCAATTGTGTGGAATGACTTTGATGAAATTCAAGTTGCTGAAGGTGTTAAGAAAGCTATTTGCAAATACTGTAAAAATGCATTTGCTACTGGGGGAAGAGGTGCGAGCACAAGCCATCTAAAGAGACATTCAGAAGGGTGTTTGCAGAGGTCAGTACAAATGGCTTCACAAAAGAAACAATGTGTCATTCCTTTTAAGCCATCCAATTCAAGTAATCCGTTTATAAGTCCGGGGTTTAGATTTTCTAATGAAAAGATGAGGGAAGTCATTGCCACTTCTATTATGGTACATGAGTATCCTTTTAGCATTGTAGAAGACGATGCTTTTATATGGTCATTTCAGTATGCGAACCCTGAATTTCAGAAAGTTTCTCGTAAGACGATACGAAGTGATTGCATAGCAATATATGAAGCAGAAAGAAAAGCATTGAAGGAATTATTAAAGAGTGTGAGCAAGATTAGCTTGACAACAGATATGTGGAAATCCAGTCATCAAGTGATTGAATATATGGTAATCACTGGTCATTTTATAGATTCTGGGTGGAAGCTTCAGAAAAGGATTTTAAGCTTTGTCAAGGTGCCTGCTCCAAGGCGAGGAATTGATGTAGCCAATGCCATTTTCAAATGTTTGAAGGCTTGGGGGATCGAAGATAAAGTGTTCTCAGTATCAGTTGACAATGCTTCATATAATGACTCGTGCTTGAGGTATCTAAAAGACTACATATCACGCAGCACCAGGCTTGTCCTCGATGGAGCTCTATTTCATGTTAGATGTTGTGCACACATATTGAATCTTTTGGTGCAAGATGGGCTTAGTCGAATCAAAGATATCATCCATAATGTTCGTGAAAGTGTGAAGTATGTAAACTTCAATGATTCAAGATTGAAGAGTTTTGGTGAAGTAGTTGAACAAAAGCATCTAAAAGAAAGGAAGTTGATAATTGATTGTCCAACAAGGTGGAATTCTACATATCACATGTTAGCCGCTGCTTTAAAATTCAAGATTGTCTTCTCAGAATACCAAGAAAGAGAACCTCATTATACATTTGCACCTTCAAATGAAGATTGGGAGAAAGTCGAGAAAGTTTGTAAACTTTTAGAGGTTTTCAACTTAGCTACCAATTTAATATCTGGAAGTGAATATCCTACTGCCAACTTGTATCTTTCAGAGGTCTGGAAAGTGAAGCAAGTAATTGATGATGCGACAAAGGATGATGATCTTTTTATGATACAAATGGCAACGCAAATGAAAGAAAAGTTTGATAAATATTGGGGTGAGTGCAATCTATTGATGGCTGTTGCAAATGTATTGGATCCGAGAGTTAAATTTCATGGTGTTGAAATATGTTTTCCAATGATATACAAGTCTGAAGAAGTTGCTGCCGAGTATGTGAACAAAGTGCGTGCTTCACTGCAACAACTATATAATGATTATGTGGCCTTAAGTGTTGAAGAATCATCCTCAAGTCAGTGCAATATGGCTAACATCTCCTCTGCCACCACCCAATCTGAATCTGCGATAGTTACTGGGTTTGATCAAATTATGAGTCTTGTAAGAGCAAAAGAAGCAATTCCTGTATCAAAATCTGAATTGGATGCCTATCTCGAGGACAGTGTTTATATTCCTGATGGAAATATGTCTTCATTTTGTGCCTTGGAGTGGTGGAGGAACAACAGCATGAAATATAAAGTTTTATCGAAGATGGCTGCTGATGTACTTGCGATTCCAATATCAACGGTAGCTTCAGAGTCTACATTTAGTGCTGGAGGTAGAATTATAGATGAATATCGTTCAAGATTGAATGAAGAATCTATTGAGACACTAATTTGTGGAGGAGATTGGCTTCGACATAAATACAACTTGAAAAAAAAGAAGGTAAATTTTATTATTAACTGTCTTTTCTTTATCTTATTCATCACCCACAATATATTTTTTTCTAATAAAAATATTTCTCTCATTTGAAGGTGAATGAGTCTTTGAAGGAGATAAGCTTATAGATTAAAGAAGTTCTTTAATACTTTGGTTGCGGTACGTTTTAAATTTATAATATTTTCTGAAATTTTTTATACAGATTAATTGTTTGAAAATCTGATTTTTTTAGTAAGATATTGTTGTTGCATGATGTATTTTGGGAGGATTCAACTTTGATTTTCTGAAATTTGTTGCAGGATGTATTGTTTGAAATATTTAGATAGGTTTGCAGGTGGTTGTTTTGATATTACAATTATTTATTTATTTTTTTAAAAATATTTGGATAGGTTTGCAGGTGCTGAAATTTTAAATTTTGATTTCAGGAGTGGAAATGCTAATGTCCAGAAGATATTATTGATCTATTTGCTATTTTTCTCTTGAAACTTTTATTGTATTGGTAAGTAAGATATTCCTTTTTTCTTTTTGTTCTAATATAATTTTTTGATGCTTTGCGTAATTTATATATAGAAGGAAGAAATTTCAGATATAATACTAATTTGATCAACTTTTGTACTTGAACAGATTTAATGGTTTCAGAAACTTTGGGGGAATTTGCAATTCTTGTGGCTTGTGGCCTGTGGGTGACGTGAACTTGAAAAACTATGTTATTAATTTCTAAATATTTTTGTCGAATTTTTTAATATTGCTTCTGAGTTAGCGTTGCTTATTTCTTTGTTAGAACAATCAGCTTAATGACAATAGATTGATGTAAACTGTTTTTTTTTTTTTTTAATGTCATTATGCAGTAATTTCTATCAGCTTTTGTCTGGAGTTTGCAAGACTTATTCCCAATAATTATATATATATTTGAATGAATTGTAATATACGTTTTTTTGCAAATTATTAGTATAATATATTGTATTTTTATATGGCAATAAAAATGATTATTTTTGTCATTAAAAAACAGAATTTTTTATTTTTTTATATATAATATAAATAATTGTATCTGTTTTATTTTTTATTTATAGTACGAAATTTACAAAAAAAAAAAATAATAATAATAATAATAAATTATTATGTAGCCTTTTAAACAGGCTCGTAGGCCAGGCCAGGCTTTTAAAAAGGCCAGGCTCAGGCTTTAAAAATATTTTTTTTTAGGCTGGTAGGCCAGGCTCAGGCCATATCTTTTTAAGACAGGCCAAGCCTATTTAACCAAAGCCTGGCCTGGCCTGGCCTATTTCCACCCCTATCGTGAAGTTAATACTCGGTCCAACTTAAATTGTCCAAAAATAATTATAATTTAATAGTAATAATTATAAATTAAAATTAAAATACTAAAAATAATTTAATTAAAATATATAATTATAAAAAAAAAAATAACAAATTACATGAGATTAACTTAAATAAAAAAAAATACAAATTAACTAAAGGCAGACCAGGCCCTTGCCCAGGTCCATAATCTGTAGGGGCTCCAATATATATATACACTTTCGTATACTAATATATAAATATATACTATTATTATTAAATATTTTATAGAATATATTAAATTAATTTTAAACAAAATATTAATTTCATATTATTTTTTAAATAAATTGTGTTTATAGATTTTTTTAATTATTTATTTTAGTATGTTTATTTAATTGTATGATTTTATATATTTTTGTCGTGAATTATGTAAAATTACGAAGATACGATGAGGAGTACTATTTTCTGTGTTTTTTATATTTTTATTTTTATGTTTATACATTTAAATTTGTATATTCTATTATATTTTTTGGTAATATTTTTAAAAATTGTATTTACATAAACATTAAGGGTGTGTTTGTTTGGGGGTTTGGATTTTGAGTTGAGATTTTTTAATAGTAAAAATTTTGAATTTGAATAGTTGTATGATGTGATATAAATTGGTTTTTATGTGATATTTTGAATGTAAAATTAATTTT